AATAAATAAATAAAACCAATTTTCCTCTCCTGGAGGAGCTCAAATGGTCTTAGACGAGCCACCCCCCCCACTTATCTAGGCAGTCCTTGACTTACGACCACAATTGGCATTTCCAGCATTTCTGTTGCTAAGTGAGACATTCTTGTCCCCTTCTACAAATGTTCTCACGCCGTTAAGCGAATCGCTGCCCTTGTTAAATCAGTAACCCAGTTTGTGAAGCAACTCTGGCTTCCCCACGGACTTGGCTGGTCAGAGGGTCGCAAAAAGGGGATCCTATGACCCCAGGGACCCCGTGACGGTCATAACTATGAGTCAGTTGCCCACCATCCGAATTTTGGGGAGGCTGCAACAGGTGTGTGAAAAACGGTCGTAACTGACTCTTTTCAGTGCCCCTGTAACTTTGAGCGATCACTAAATGAACCGTCGTAAGTCCAGGACTGCCTGCATGGCCTCAGTCTTCCCTCCCTGAAAATGGGAACCCCAAAGAACCTTTGAAATACAAAGGTAGGCGGTAGGAGCATCAAACAACGGCAGATTCTGCGTGGCCCAAACGCAAAATAAATTCCGTTCTGACGTGCGAGACACACAACTCCGGGCATCTGGCACAAGCCACAATCACGCAGTGTATGTCCTGAGAGTGTGACACACCACTCACGCCACCCACGGCCGATACCTACGATTCCATCTCATGTGAGCATCTTTTACTGTGGGGTCTTTGGTGGGCTCTGAGCTCAGCTGTGGCCTTGCAGACGTCTCGTGGCCAAACTAGGTAACATCATCAGTGCTACGGTAGAAGGGAGTGAGGCTTTCTCCCTGCCTACGTACTGTAGCTTGCCCCACCCATGTTGATGGGACAGTGGTTTTTCCCTTGCTAATTCCTCGATTAGGGTATTATTGCTTGTTTCGTCTGGTGCTAATCCCTGCTTATCCAAGTTTCTCTCTCGGTGGATTCCGTGGGCGCTCGCTGAGCTTGGCAGCTTTCTTAAAGATCTTTCATTACTCAACTAGGTAACGTCATCAGTGCTACAAGGAAGTTGGTTTGCTCCCTGTTTACATATCGTAGCTTGCCCCGCCAGTGTTGGCAGGGGTGTGAATTTTTTCAACCCTTGACTGGGGTATTGTTTTTTGCTTGTTTGTCCAGTGTTAATCCCTACTTATCTGGGTGGGAGCTGGTGGAGAGCATCTTTTATTCCACAACCCAGCGCCCTGCGGACACCTTGCTGGGCCCATTTCCAGAATGCTAGCTGTGGGATTCTGGAACCTCATGAGGGCATGATGTGGGGGTGGGTTTTCTGCACTGGCCTTCCATTGATGAACCACCGAGGAGAGAAATACAATACAGGTCAGTGATGGCGAACCTTTTTTGTTGTGGTGTGTCGAAAGCACACACATGCCGGCACCCACAATGCAATGCGCCCCCCCTGTGCATGGGCATGCACCACCCCCGCCCCATCCCCTGACCTGCACTACGCAGGCCCGCACCTCCCAACTCATTTTCTGCTCCTTTGAGGCCGGTTTCGCCCCCCTGGAGGCTCGAGGGAAGCCTCTGCTCTTGCCACGGCCGTTAAGCGAAGCACACAGCCGTTAAGCAAATCTGGCTTGCCCCCCCACTGAATTGGCTTGGCAATCGTGTGGGATTCTAGGACCTGTGGCAACAACCCGTCGGAAATACTGTACATCCCGGTTTGTCAAAGGCCTGGATTTTGATCATGTGTGAATGTGGGGACCTCACTGGGGTTGTTAAGTGCGAGGATTGGTTGGAAGCCAATTCCTTCAAGCTCTTATCATAACTTGGACCAGTTGCAAGGGTGGGCGGCTAGCGGTTCGCACCGGTTCAGGCGAACCGGTTGTTAACTTTACATCTAGTTCGCCAAACCGGTAGTTGCAAAGACTGGCTGGCCCCGCCCCTCCCAGGAGTCTCCATGCAACCTGTTTTGGATGCAGGTAAGTACAGGGCCGAGGTAGACGCTCAGGGAGGGAAAAAAACAGCCTTGCGGAGGCTATGGAAGGCCGGAGAGAACCTGGGGAAGGCGAAAAATGGGCCTCCCACCACGATGGAGGAGGCCAACTAGACCACGCCCACCATGGCTATGCCCACCCAGCAACTGAGTAGAGCCAACCAGTGGGACAGGGACCACTGGTAGTCTGCAAGAAAGTTTGGGTGGTCCGCAGGGAAATGTCCCCCCCCCCCCAAAGCAATTAATCCAGGCTGCGAAGGAACACAAGGCTGCGACAGCCACATGGCCTGCGGGAACACAAGCATTGCGAACAACACAAGGTAGTGAGAGGAGGGGGGAAAGGGTGGAGGGGGGGAACTTGCCCCACTTGTCCCACAAGCCTGGCCTGGCCACCGGGCTGCTTCTTTCCGCTTCTTTCTTCTTCTTCTTTTGGCTGCACGCCAGAAAAGCAGCCAAAGTCTTTCTTTCTCTCCCCCTGAGAACGGAGCTGGAGACGGTATCCTGCGATCCCAAATAAGGAACGATCGATTGATAGGAAAACGGGGTGGGGGATTTTCCTGAATATTTTTTGGAGGGGATTTTCCCAGGGTCTCTGCTGCTTTCTGCAGAGACCCTGGGAAAATGTCAGCAAGCCACTATCAATCAAAGTTCATATTAGTGGTCCATGGGATTTAAAATTATGAGTTTAGTGGTCCCTGAGGTCCAAAAGGTTGGTGACCCCCTGGGGTAGAGAACCCGCTGCTAATTTTTTTGAAGCCCACCCCTGACCAGTTGTTAGGCAAATGGTCGTAAATCGAGGACTGGAAGAAGACCCCAAGAGACTAAAACCTTCCCAACCGATCTAGCAAAAGGTCACCCCCAAATTGATTTGCGCCCAAAAGGAAACCGTTGGGTGTTTTACGTCACAAAGTTTTGGCCTTAGCTTGCCGAGGAGAGATCCTGAACCACCCCAAGGCTGCACTTCTAAGGAGCAGAAAAAGGAATATTTAATGACCAGGTTCTGAGGCTTTTTTGTTTTTGTTTTTTGGGCAAGGCTGATCCCTGCCCTGCAATTAGTTTTCACCGGAACTCCTTGCCACCTGGAGCCATTTCGAGAGCAGGTGGGCAGCAGCGGATAAATTTAATCCCTCAATGAAATCATCCATAAATAAAAGAACCACTCAGGACAAAACGATCTGGCAGGGTGGGTGTTGAGAGAGAGAGAGATCGTAAAAAGAGGCAAGAAATATACTGTCACGCCCCGGTTGGAGCCTGACTCCGAGGGAGAAGTGGAAGAGCTGACAGGGAGTGGGAGTGCGGCTCCGGTGGCTGTGGAGGAAACTGGGGAAGGGCAGCTGGGCATTCAGAGGAAGACCCAGGCCCACCCCCTCTTCATCCTAGGGCACGCAGGGAGGAACGGATAAGGGAGCAATGTGGTTTTACGGGGGGAGGAAAGGGCCCTGATCTCCTTCATGGGCTGCAGCTGGGAAGACTGGGCAAACTGCGCATGGCAAAGTTGCCGGAAGCAAAAGGTGCATTATCTTGGTCGAGGCTTATCTGGGTTTTGGCGTCCTCCCGACGGTGTGTGCCTCGCTATCCTTTGGAAGCCTGCAAGTTATTATCCTGGCCTGTCGTGTGGACTAATTCAGCGTGGTTTGTGTTGTTGTTGTTGTTTTTATTTCTACTTTATCTGTATTTTGGGTTCGGACCGCATTTCTTCCCTTTGTAGACTGTTTTTGGAAGAGTTTGATCTCCCGCTGAGGATAATTGGACATCGTGGGCCAAGTTGGAGGCATGAAAGGTAGAATTTATTCTACTTTGGTGACTTTGTTATTTTTTGTGCCACGCCCCTTTGGGTCATCACATATAGTCACCTCTCTCCCCCACCCCCTCGCTTCCCCTCCCTGCCAAAGGTTGGATTTCTAGGCTGTTTTGCCAAATTACATTTAAAAAAAAACAAAGAAAGGAAGAAAAGTGAACCCGGCTAGCTGAAAAAGAAGAAATAGCCAGCAGATCAAAGGACGAGTTAATGTTCACTCTTCAGCCTATGGAAAGGTGGAAACTTTCCCTCCCTCACCCCCCCCCCCCGTTTGGCAGTGATGGGTGTCCCAATTGATGACACCGGTCAATTTAATTGATGTGTGTCCCAGTCAATTAAACTGCAAATAGAAGGGCAACGGGGGAATCCTTTAAGTCAAGAGTTCGTCAAGCTGGGTGAATTTGAAGACGGGTGGGCTTCAACTCCCACAATTTCTCCCCCCCCTCCTCCCCAAGCCGGCAAGGGTGAGACTAGATGACCTGCAGAGTCCCTAGAATTCTCTGGCCTTTCTTTCTCTGCAGAAGCTGCTGGGTTGTTGTTGTTTTTTCCGGTTTGCGAGAAAAAGTGGGAAGGGGGGGGAGTGTATCTATGTGGCCCCCTCATAAGAGCCCCCCCTTTTCTTCCCCCTCCCCCAATAAAAGTCAGGTAGCTAGAGAATTAGGGGAGGATCTAGGAAGAGCTGCCCATCCCTTGGTTGGAGGAGAAGAGTGAAAGGGGGAAGGGGCCCCGCGTTTGTTGCTGTCAAAGCCTAACAAAGCCTCCGCATATTTTCTGGAGCCCTTGGGAGATGCTGCATACCACACACCCCATTATCCCCGGCCGTCGACCACACGGCCTTGAGCCCAGAGGAGTTTCTTTTTCCGTCTGACATTTCTGGAAGGTTTTCTTCCAACCTTGCCCCGTTGAATTTCACCCTTCAAATTCCCATGTAGCGTTTCTCTCCCCCCCCCCCCGCACAAACCCCACCCCAAAATGCCCTCCAGCCCATGGGCCACTGCCCTCCCAGGGAGCAGGGGACTCCAAAACCTAATTGCAGCTGCTGGGCTCCCCCCACCCACCCAAGATAGTTCCTCCAGAAACCACAGAATTGCATTTTCAGCTGTGGGTAGTTTTGTGTTTGGGGGGGCGAGGGGGGGGG